CCCACCAGCTGTGGAACTCAGATCTCTTAGCTTAACACTGCTGCCTCCTATGCACCTGGTAAGGCCGTGGTGTCTTGGCACTATGAGGACCACAGAGACAACCCCCCTTCCCCACCCCTCCTTGTGCCCGCCACAGGAGCAGCTGTTTGCTGTGATGGTGGAGGGAGCAGCAACAGCAAATGTTTCTAAGACTTGTGTGCCTAATGATCTCTCTACCTCAGTCAATTCATTTTCTTTTAACTGCCTTTGTTAAGAGTAGCTTAATAATCTCTAATTATTCAGTACATTCACAGACTGAGTGTCTCACAATCCTCCATTTAATTAAGTATTAAATTTTAAAATCTGAGTGTTGCGGCCTTTGACATAGTGTGTGTGACTCTAAGCACTGCCGTTTACTGGGAGGCCTCCTCTCTCTCTCTCTCTCTCTCTCTCTCTCTCTCTCTCTCTTTTTGGTCAAGAGGGAATTGGATTCTATTACAGGTGGTTCGCAGCCACCATGTGATTGCTGGGAATTGAACTCAGGACCTATGGAAGAGCAGCCAGTGCTCTTAACCACTGAGCCATCTCTCCAGCCCGAGGCCTCATATCTTCTGGATTCAGTACCAACTTCCTCCTCCTTGAAGCAGCTTGAAGGACCAGAGCTGCTGCCTGGGTGTGCGCTGGATGAGGGGGACCACAGTGCTCCCCACAGTCTTGGGGATGTCAGAAAAGCTGGAGGAAAAGCTAGGTCCCCATCTCATCACTCATCTTGAATAAGAGATGTAAATAAAGGTCGCTGGCAGGTTGTCTAGAATCCCCTAGCATTTTGGGGTCCCCAACTCTTCCCTACTTCAAGAAGTCTCTGTCCAGCACATAGGAACGAGGAAGTTGAGACAATCAGGCAGAGACCCCACGGAGAACTGGGCATAATAGGTGTAAATAGTCCCATAAATTCTCAGCTCCAGGCTGGGAACTGGGAGGCTGCAAGGCGAGCCAGTGGCCTAAGGCCTGCAGGGCTCAACCCTCAGATCCAGGACAGCTGCGTGGAGAAGAGGGCCAAGTGTACGGAGGACAGCAGGGTCCGGGCAAAGCCAGGGTCAGCGCCGCAGCCACAGGCCAGGTAAAGGAGCCGTGGGGAGGGGACTGCAGGCATGGCTACCCAGGCAGCCTACACATCATCCTTCTGAGTAGTTCCGTTTTCACCTGGGAAAAGTGAGGTGTAGGGAGAACCCATGAGGTCATAAGACAGCCGGTGCCAGGCATCCCATCAAAAAGTAGCCAACCACCTTGAGGCCGACAGTTCACTTGACACCCTCTCCCTCACCCCTTCCAAAGGGTGCCAGAGGCTTAAGGAGCCTTGGGGACCTAAGGGGAGACAGGTGGGGCAGTGGGGACACAGGACAGAGAAATGCAGACAGTGGTGGGGGATGAGGGCAGGGTTCCGTCTGGCAACCAGGAAGGAATCTCCACAGTGCCACCTCCTGGGCGTCACTGGCCTGTCACCATGGTCACCAACATCCCTCGTGAGGCAGACTATGGGCACAGAAGGAAACAGAGGCAGAGCCACAGCAGTCAAGGCAAGGCCAGCTCTGGCTTACTGCTCAGACCCCAGATCAAGGGTCCATAGGGTCAGCTTCCTTGCTGGGCACTCAGTTGGTCTGGGGCTTTACCACAGTAGTGGCCGCATGGCCCTGTTGGGTCCACCAGGTGTGACAAGGCAGCTGCTCAGAGACGCCACCCAGAGTAAGGCTCAGTGTCAAAGATGAGCCAACTACATGGTCCCGTTACCATCCTGTCGCAACCAGACACATATTAGAAACAGAGCTGAGCATTTGATGACAGCAAGGAATTACAGCCGGGTTTACATGCCAGGGATAAACGCTGAGACATTCCGGGCAGGATGGTAACCATCCTGGGGTCTGGGACACAGAAAGGCAAGGCCAGACAAGAGCTGGTGTTTGAGAATGAAATTTCTATGTTAAAAAGTTCATCATGAAAAAAAAATGATTAAGAGCGAGCCAGTTTTGCTGGACAGTGTGGGGACCCTCAGTGGAAGGCAAAGCAGCCAGGGTCAGTTTGCCCTTCCAAAAGCCGACAACAGGACATCCCTAGACAGGGAGTAATGGGGAAGAAGGTGAGTCGAGGTGCGCACACAGGGAAAGGGAGGCGGTGTTGCTGATGTTCATAATTTCCGACCCACTCCTTGCTGCTGCTCCACCACCCACCATCCAGCCCAGCTGGCATGGAATGTGAACAGCAGGGTCTGTGGTAAGGCCTTCTCCCTCCCATGCCTCAACACACTGGCAACTCCAGCTGCCTGGCAGTTAAAGGGGTCCTAGTCAGGGAGGAGCAAGGGCAGGGTCAGGACAAGAAGGCAGACCACGCCTCGGGGTTCAGATTTCCCCTCCTCTCAATTCCCCCAACCTGCGAAGCGCTTTGTGGATATAAATAGGGGGACTGATTAATTCCAAAGAGGCTGACAAATGCTATGGAAAAATACCCGGACGGTTTTCTGCTCAAGCCCGACAAACTTCTACTCACCCCACAACACTCCGCTAACTTTGGGCGTGACTTTTTCTGGCCTCTCAGCCCCGTCCAGCACGTGGGCCGAATCTGTAGGGTAAGTGAGGGTCTTTCTAGACATACTGAGGTCTCGTATAGGCCCGCAGGCAAGATTAAGTGTGAAAAGGGCCCAGAAAAAGCTGGCAGGGACGAGGTGACCTCCAACGGGCCGGCAGCACAAAAGGCGCCCAGTGAGCGGCCCTGTGAGGTCACACAGCCTGCACAGGCCCACGAGGAGGGGTGTGGGCCTTACGTCTGTATCTCTGTGGGAGGGGGCAAAGGTCTAGGTCCGCAGGGCTTCGAGGGCCCCTGTGAGGACCAAGGACGGCGGAGGAGTGGCTACTGCCTCTCAGTGGTGAGGCAAATGGAGACATGCAGCATTATGGATTTAAGTCAATGCCTCTGGATGGGGTTTCAGACTATTAGACTGACCGGGAAAGCAGCTTAGGTTGCCAGACAATGCATGCAGCTTCTACTGAGCAACTGGCATGGCCAGGGCTCCAGTGGGCCTGCTATCATGGCCACGTGCCAGAGCTGGAGAAAGAGCAGTCTCTGTTCAAAAGAACAGCGCACGACAGCGGGGTGCGACCTGCCTTCCAGACACCCCTGAGTACCAGGCGGCCCCTGTGGCAGTGAAAGACACAGGTGGGACAGAACAGCAACGTGGCAAGAGCTGGAGAAGTCTAGGGATGGTGACAACAGCCGGGAAGTGGGACTGACACGCAGGCGCTCAGGCACCTCCTGGGTACAGGAGGCCCGTGCTCTCCACCTGCCCTGTGATGCCAAGGACGTCTCACACCTGTGTGCAAACCAATACCGACTGCGGCGGGCAGCACAGAGCATCCTGAGATTTGGCCCAGTGCGCACAGCAGGCCATCTGTGGGAGTTAACTCCAACACCGTCACCATCGGCGTGACACCCGCAGACAAACACAGCCACACACGCACCCACACTGCACTGAGACACAGGGACAGACGTGCGTGCACACACTTCATGTGCTCTGAAGCACGGACCCCCTCTCCTCTGTGCCCTCTCACCGGGAGCGGTGTGTGCACGCTTCAGGGATATTGCTTGGAGACCCACGGGAAGTGGCCTCCCGCTGGGCCTGGGCTCACTCTGAGCATGGAGGGCTCCACACTGTGTCTTGTCAGAGAAGAACCAGGCGCACAGCCCCAGATTCAGGTGACCCACATCTAGCCAAGGAAGACTCTCAGGAGAAGGGACACCCAAGCCTCTCCCACCCAGTACAGTTCCCCGTCTGGGGTGTGGAAGAGATCTTGCTCCCTGTTCCTGCAAGGCTTCTGCACGTCCTCACCTTCCGTGGCCCTTCGGGGCTGGAGGTCCCACACAGAGACTAAGCAGGCCCAGGTATTACTCAGTGACAGCCGGTACAGAAGCATCCTGGGGCCTTGAAGATCCCCATTGTAAGTTCACAGGATGCTTCCAAGAGGAAAAACACATGAGAGCCCCGATGGCCTGGTATACAGCAGGTGCTCAGACATGCTCACACATATGTAGATACATTGTAAGACTGGGGTCAACTACGTGACCCATGGGTTGTCAGACTGTAAACTGTAGACCCTGCAGTCAGCAAAGCGGTTCACACCTTCAACATGCCTCCTGGATGAGGCCTTGACCCTGTCCTCATCAGCCCCCAAACATCTCCCAGTCAGGATGAGGGAGGGCAGGGGCTCCTTGGCCCCCAATTGGCTCAGATTTTAGCCTGGAAGCTCACTCAGGCTATAATGTCTGAGGACGGGAGGAAGAGGAGGAGAGGGGGAGAAGAAAGAGGGGCAGGAGGGGTGTGAGAAGTGAGGGATGATGTGGCAATGGCGTCTCACATTAGCAGCCACCCTCACTTGGGGACTCTGTCCAGATCCCTATGCAGTTCTACGACCCCCCACTCACTCTGTACCCCACCCCCAGGAAATCACAAGAGAGTGGCTTCTGAAAACCAGCCCCCACACAGGCCCTGGCTCTGCCCGTCTGTCTGGGTGACCTACCCAGCCAGCACCATGTAAAACCCTTCTTTGCACACCTGCAAGCCTGCGGAGGTCTCCCTGGGGCAGGCAATGGTGTGCCCTGCTCAGAAGACCTCAGTTAAGAATCCATCTGGGATACTCCAAGTGAGCCTAGGGGGCTTAACCAGCAGCTGGGCGCCAACAGCAGCCCGGCCATCACCTACCCACAACTTAGCGCCCTCGCTCTTCCTGGAGCACAGTTTTTAGGGAAGCACCACCCAGCCCCCCAGTGCCTCACCGGCATGAGACCTGGAGACGCTACATGGGAACCCCCTAAATCGGAGAGGTGAAAGTTGTAATGGGTCTGAGGGCAGAGTCCTCCCATGTCCCCGCAGACAGAGCCATCTTAAAGGCCTGGGCATTCTTGGTCCCCTCCTCACGGTCCTGATAGGCTGAGACAGCCCACCACCACCACCACAAGCCCCCGCCGGGTCCTACCTCTGGCTGACAGCTTCTTGGTGTTAATGATCTTGGCTGCATACTCATGGCCGGTACAGAGCTTGACGCAGCGTCGGACCACAGAGAAAGCCCCCCTGGAAAGAACGCAGGGGCAAAAGACAGACACAGGGAGAGAGAGAAAGAAAACCAATTAATCTCCAAAGACATGTAGAACCTTGCCACTGCCAGGCCGTGGGCACATGGCCAGTGAGCAAAGGAAGCCTATGGCCCTGCCACACAGCTTCTGGCCACCCTACTTGGCACCAGCAGCACAGGGCCAGACAAATACTCTTGTGGAGATTCTTTGAAAAGGAGTACTAGCCATGCCTTGAGCGGGTCCCCACTCAATTACCGTATACCACCCCTGTCCTGATCCATCCATCAGCTGGACTGAGCGGCACCTTCAAGTTCACAATACCCCAGCACGTCCTTCCTAGGGGCGAGGCCGGGCCGGAGGGCAGGTGTGCTGGAAATGGGTGCCTCCGGACACAGGGACCCATGGAAGGTTTTACAGAGAGAAGCACTGCCCAGCTTAACTGCAAAACCAGAGGCAAGGGAGCCCCGGACACACCACTGTCCCTGCATCTCAGAAGAGGCCACGGAGGTCCAGGGCGGGCCACAAGAACAGAGTACCGGAGCTCACCAGCATGAGTTAAAGTGTCAGCCGCGTCAGGAGAGGCTCTGACTGCTGCCCATAAAGCCGACCCACAGAGACCCGGAGCCGTGGGGAGAGGAGGCCGCGCCAGGTCAAACACTCCCTGGTCCGGTCCCTCACATCCATCCATCTCTGCACCCCTAAAGTACTTGGCTCGGATAAGCACATCTCAGGTGATGACCACCAGAATTTTGAAATAAGCCTTTGTAAAAAATAAAATAAATAAATATATATATGTATATATAATTTTTATTTTATTATATATATATTATAGTTCACTTTCCTAGGAAAAAGTAAGTGACTGCCCTCCATCTGATTGGTTGCTGAATGGCTCACACCATTATGGCCAGCACTCCTCAGATACTGAGCTCAGTCTCACTCAGGCTGGCCACCACGGCCTAACTGCTGTGACCCTGTGCACAGGGTCAGGGCTGCCCAGGGGCGGGGGTGGCCAGCATGGCATGTGTTTAATCTGTAGCTTCTTGTTCCATTTTTCCACTTATGTGTGAGTTACAGGCTCAAAACCTCCCTTTGTAAGGAAGAGTTATTGGGGTTTTTTTTTTTGTTTTGTTTTGTTTTGTTTTTTTTCCTTCAGTCTCAACAGTTTTCTTCTTTTGTTTTGTTTTTGGCCATGCTAGACAGAACCCGGAGCCTCCTGCACTGAAGGGAAGTACTCCACTTTTGAACCATGCCCTACTCTGGCTTACTGTTTTTCACAGCCACTGTGTCTGGCCAGGCTTCTTCCTGGTTGCACAGACTGATGTACTCTATGAGCCTCAGTTTCCCCACGTGTATAGTGGAGCAGCAGGGCCTCACATGGCCTTGTCTGCTGTGCACCCTCACCTTCCCTTTGCTCGGGGCTCCGAGTTGCCATCTGTGTCGCTCAAGCCCAGAGAGCACAGCGCCTGTAGCCTGGCTGAGCAGGCATCCTCTGTGAGTTCCAGGCCAGCTCCTGAGGGTGGGAGATAGTCTAGTCTTTCCTGTGACAGGGGCAAGACCTCACAGGAGGCCGAACTGTGCATCTCTGAGACACCTTCTCAGCGAGGGAGCCCATATACAAAGCAGGGTAGAGCCCCCCCACACACACACACACACTGTCTTGTCAGCGGAGTAGGCTCTTAGACGCCAACCTGACCCAGGGAAGGACATTCGTAAGTGTCTGAGCCGCAGCTCTCCCCTAGCACCAGGGCATCCACACACCAAACTACCAAGAGTCTGTGGCAGGTAGACAGACTACAGACTGCTTGTGCACACCGCTCCCCTTTCCTCTGCAGAGGGCTCTGCTGTCAGCCCAGGCTTGGGCTAGGCACCCAGCAGGGATGGAAGAAGCCAGGCCTGGGCAGCTGCCAGAAGAAGAAGCAGGGATGAAGCTGTAAGGCGGGGAGGTGCAGGCACAGCCGGGCAGCCAGCAAGTGCTTGGCCCCTGCTTGGCCTCAACCACAAGCAGGACCCCCTACAGGGAGCTGTGTGCTGAGGGGGAGAAGGCTGACCCCAGTGACTTCTGTGCTAGTGCTCAGGGCCTCGGGGCTACCTCTTCCACCCCTTTGAAGCCAGCCCTGAGAAAGGCTCCTAGCGGTCACAGCCGTTCCCCAGACCACTGCAGGCATGAGGAAGGAGCTGCAAAATCACCCTCTCCGTCTGTGCCAAATGACACAGTCACAGTGGCCACAAACATGGTTAGGGTGTATCACACCGGCGGGGGGAAGGGGGGCTGACACCCTGGACATCTTTAAGAACAAGGAGGCCAAGAGAATTGCTGTCCCCCTCAGGACTCACAGCACGTGTCATAACACCTGTCACTCAAATTTATAATTACTGAGAAACAATGTGGACAAAGACCCTTAGTCTAGACTGTGACCTTGTGACTCTCTCAGGCCAACTCATCCGCATTCTTCAAGACCCAATTCAAACAGCCCAGTTTCCTCTAAGTATCTGCCCCTCACAGAGCTTCACCATAATTCCACCTGATGGTTTCCGTCCCCAACCTCACCCGACCCCCATGCTCCCTAATACAGGACCTAGGGTTTCCTTCACTCCAGGCGGGCACTCTACCATCTAGCCCCCACTGTATTGGAGGTGTTGGTTTCTTTTAAAACTCAGTCATGTTATGTAAATATGTTTTTACTTTAATCCCAAGTGTGGGGATTTTGGTTTGGGCTTTAGTTTGTCCACAGCTGGTAACTGCCTCCCGCTGGGCGTGGTCTTTGCCAGCTGGTAACGGCCTGCCCTGTGCAGCATGGAGAGGGGTGATGCCTAGGACTCTGAGGGATAGAAACAGGACAGCCCAGAGAGAGAAGGTGTGACAGTTTGGAGGGACCAGAGATGGACGGTGTGGTAGCTTGGAGGAGACAGACGGAGAGAAGAGAAATGTTTCAATACAGCAGCTTAGAGGAGACTGCTGGCTGTGTTTGCTGTTGATGGAGATTGGTATAGCCCCAAAAGAACCCACTGGCCCTAAACAGCCCGGAGTGGCGCCCCTCCCCCACTAACCTCTCTCTTACCTAGGGTTAAAGGACTGGTGGAAGGGAGGTAGAGGCTTACATGCCCCAAATAAAACAGAGTTTAAAAACTAGCGCAACACCCCTTTCTTACTTTTTTAAAGACAGACTGTCACTAAGTCGCCCAAGCAGGCCTTGAATTTTTTAAATTAAGAACTACCATTATTTTTATGACTTTGCATCCCAATTTTTAAAAATTGGGAAGAAAAAAATTACTTATTTTTAATATATAATATGTTAATGTATTCTTTTGAGAACTTTGTAGGTGCATACAATGCATTTTCATCACACCCCTCCCCACCCCAAATTCCTGTCTTCCAACTCCTCCTGGATTATCCCAACACATGCCCCTCCCAACTTAATTTTTCCCAGAGTCCACTTGGGCCTTGAACTTTTGATCTTTTCGCTTATTGTCTTAAGTAGCTGGGATTTGTTTCTCTACTTTATTATGACCATTTACCTGCCCATTTCTGCCCTACTTCACTGCAACTCTGCAGGCAGGCCTCAGTCCTACCCAGCCTGGATTCTCATGCTGGGCCCTTGGTCTGACGGAGAAGTCAGAACAGACCGGAAGTGTCTCGGGTTGGCTATGGATGCTGGAGCTGCTGGACCTTGGTGTTGGTCCGGCCTTGTAGAGCAGGAATGACTGCAGGAGAATGGCAGCCAGGGAAAGGGCCAGGAAGTAGGAGGGACCTGAAATGGCTCCTCAGGAGGGGTTCTCTCAGGCTCTTATGAAGTAGGCAGACCCCACAAGAGTGGTCCAGAAAAAGGGGGCCCACCTACCAATGCTGAGGCCACGTGGTCAGACTCAGAATGAGCAGAGCTGGGGAATGGGGTGCAGACACGTGGATAGGCTTGAAGCCCCATCTTGAAGATGTCCGAGGTGTCAGGGCCCCCCCTTGACTACGCTAAACATGTTTGTGGCTACTTGTAGGGGACATTCCCGTGACAGTGGCCCTGGCAAGTGGCAGAGTCGCTAGGGAAGGAGAGGGTGGCTCTACAGCTGCTTCCCCATGCCTGCCGTGGTCTGGGGGATGACTGTGCCGGCTAGGAGTCCTTTTCAGGGCCTCTTCAAAGGGATGGAGGAGGCGGCCCCAAGGCCCTGCGTATAGGCACAGAAGCACAGGCAGGCAGGATGGGTAGTGGCAGCAGTCACCTTGGAACACACTGCCGGCTCCCAAATCAGGCCACCTACCCATGGCAACAGCAGCGGTGGATCCACGGGCAGAAAAAGATCCAGACGGGGTTGGATACACCAGGGCTCAGGCCAACAATTCTGCTAGACACTGACTCAAACTTCACCTCAACCCCAAGGTCACATGCGGGGCGCCTGGTGTGGGCCGCCTGCTTCAGAACTAAGCAGAAAGAGATTGGAAGGGCCTGCTCAGATCTCGAGGCCCCAGGGCACCAAGCATGTTACAGGGCTTTTAAAATCAAATAAAGCTAATTAAAACAAGAAAAGACTCCTTGAGCCCTGACTCGCTCAAGGCTCCAAATGCGGTCTCATTTACAACAGGATCAACAGTACCTGAAAACAGGCCCTGAGAGAAAAGGGGAAGAATTAATTCCGTGCAGGCCTGGAACCCTGGAGCTGGGCGGCCCCAGGCAGATATCTGCTCTCCACCCTTGCTTCACCACTGGAGTGCGGTCTCCTTTGCAAGCCCCAAGGGAAGGCTCTGGGGGGGGGGGGGGATTCAGTCTTGTCAGCTGACCACAGACAACCACAGGAAGTGTCAGAAGGTGCTCACTCTTCAGGAATCCCACCTGCCTCTAACTCCCCAACAGTGTGGCAATGCCTAGTCCACACAGACAATCTGGCCACCTACTATCCCCAGCTCTGCTGCCCTTCACAGGCCGCATCTGCTTTCAGGATTTCTAAAGACCCTGGCTCTGAGAGGCCTCCCAGCCAGCCAACACCAGGAGCCTGCGCCCATTGCTAATC